CAGAAAATTGTATCCATAAGCCATTTGAAGAATGATTGATACTTTGAACTGTTTTTTCTTTAGCTGGGTTATTTTGCATATGTGGATAGTTAAATCTCTTATTTCAGAAAGAAGCCCATGTGTTATTTTTTTGTGATTTATTAATTTTTAATTTAAAAAATTTTATGACTGAAGAAAGGTAATTTAATATAAATAGTGGTCCAGTATCTATAATTTTTTTCCAGTGTCGTTAGACTATGTTTTACATAGAGTTATTTCTCTTTTAGTACTTATCCCGATCTAGGAGGCAACCCATCTAAACATATATAGTGATGTAAGACAGGTGCACAGTCATGTACGTACTTTCTCTTCTATGTACCTGAGCTAACTGCAAAGGTTTTTAAAACAGTCTCTCTTTTAGTCAGATATCTGTCTGACTGCAATTCAATGAAACAAACATTAAATTGATTAAAATTTTTTTTTCTCTACTCAGAACAATGGAGGTAGTAGTAAAGACTAAGAAAATTGAGTTGTAGTGTTTCTCTTGAGTCTGCAATTTATGTTGCCTATACTTGACCACATCTTTATAATAGTGTGTGTGTAGAGGAGGTGGTGTTATATATTATTAGTAAATATAAAATGGACCAGGCATTTTATATTCTTTTACTTCATGTTTATTTCTTATTTTCAATTAAAGCTAATAGAAACCTACCAACTCTTAGATTAAACATGAAAAATAAAAATGTTGACCAAATATGGCTCCTCTCCCACTCTTAGTGCTATAATACATAATAGACTCTCAGAACATGTTCACTGAATTAAGTTGAAACATTTGCAAGGAACTGCCACTTCTGGTTTTTTAAAATATATTTTCCTGAGATTTTTTTCTTTCAAAATAGAAAGATCAGTATGGTGAAATAGCAGTGTTGGTACTTTTAGGACAGAATGTTTGCATTTGGACTGATTAACAAATTGAACTATTTTTCTTTAAGATAAAGGCTCTTCTCTTACAGGGAGTAATTTTTGTCTTCCTAAATTGAAAACGAATGATGAATTACGGTTTTAGTAGAAGGCACCATTAATGAATACTTTCTTGTATATTCTGTGGCCTGGTCTTCAGGTATAAAATAGAATAATTGTCTGCCTACTAATTTTGAAAGTAATCTGTTAACAACTATATTGTGTAGGTTTGGTCACATTCAACCTTAATCATTTTTTTAACAGCTGTTTTTCCTTAGGTCACGACTTTCAGGCTAGATTATTATGTGGCAAGAAGTGAAGTGTTTTGTGATATCTGTTCTATGTACATTCCTTTAATGCTAAGTGAAGAAAAGTCAATTTCAAAATGATTCCATTTATTTAACATTCATGAAGTAACTAATAATTATAAAGATAGAGAACAGATTAGTGGTTGCCAGGGATTAGGGATGGGAGATGAGAGGTGGATATAGCTATAAAGGGATAGCACAAAGGAATATTATGGTAATAGTACAGTTGAGTATCTTGAGTGCGGTGGTAGTTACATGAAGCTCTACATGTTATAAAATAGCATAGAGCTATACACGTGCACAAATGTGTGCATGTGTAACTGGTAAAATTCGAATAAGCTTTGTGGTTTGTACTGACATCTTACTTCCTGCTGTTGATATTGTACTCCAGTTATGCAAGATATTAACATTGGGGAAGGCTGAGTGAAGGACTTCCTTGTGCATTTCTTTATAACTTCCTGTGAATTTATATTTATTTCAAAATTAGATTTTAAAAATATACTTTTTTGACCGAAACTCTCACTCCAAACCAAGATAGTTATTAAAGGCAGATGTCCATTCAGTTGACCTTTCCTTGCTTTCAAGTCTCACCATCCAATTATTGTAGCAGTAGAGCAGAGGACTCCTTCAAAGAAGTTCTTTCTAATCTGCTTATGCTCTGGGACATTATATTTTATAACTAGTTCCTAGTAAAACCACTCAGTTCTAGAAAACCCATTTCTAGCTATGCCATAGCTCCCAGAGTGAACTACTTAAATGTATGCATCCTCCATTTTCGTATGTATTGATATACTGAATATGAAACCTTAAGAAACCGTAACACAGAAAAGAAGACATGTACAGCCTTTTAAATATTTAAAAGAATAGATTTTCCTATTTCCATAGATGCAAATAGAATCATACTGTTCAACTCTAAATAAATACCAATCTTATGTTTTATTAAGCACACTGGTAAATTAATATACTAAAAAGTGGAACATGATTTATGTGCTTTTCTGGTGAACACTTTGGTTTAGCTGTAATACGCCAAGGAAGAAAAACCTATAGCTACTCGTTTCCCATATTTAATTTTAATTTGTTTAAATATAAGCATTTCCTCAAGCCCAATGTTCTTAAACATGAGCATAGTGATAATATAATTATTCTTCTAAACAGCTAACTCTTATTGATCTTGCTAAGAGTTAGATACTTGCTAAGCAATTTTAACATATCATTTAATCCTCAGAGTAACCTCATGAGATAGATACTATTATATAGATGAGTAACATACTTAGAATAACACAGCTAGTAAGCTTCTTTATACCATACTGTATGAGAAATCTAAAGTTCAATATGATGAAGTCTTCCATGACTTATGCAAGGGCATCTGCTTTTGTCATTTTTATCTTCTCTCGTGTAACCTTTTTATGGAAACCAGTCTAAATTAAAAGTTGGGTCTTGGGAGTGGCTCCATAGTGTAGTGGTTAGCACATCTGCTTTGCACGCAGAAGGTACTGGGTTCATGCCCCAGGTGGAGACACGGACCATACCCCGGGTGTGCCAGGCCCTGGGTGCGCCAGGCCCCGGGTGCACGCCATGAGTATGTGGGAGGGGACGCCCCACCTTCAGAAATCCAGTTCTTAAGGGGAAATGGCAACATCCATGGGTCAGGGGTGGAAGTGGGGGAAGGGGGAATTAAAGAGGAGAGAAAAAAAAGTTAGGTCTTAAAATCTGTACTGATATTTTAAGGATATCTCTAAAAACTTGGAAAGACTTGACCTCTAAAATCTTATTGACTCTGCTTTTTAAATTGTACTGGTTATTTTCTCCATTGTGACTAGTTTCTTATATAGATTTTAAAATATCATTTAGTACATTTATTCATTTTTATGTAGGATCACTCTTACAGAAACGGCTTAAAGTTTTACTGCTACCCTTCATTTTTAACTATTTGTATATGTGTATATGTGTTTAAACAAGTTGTTGGCATTTTAGTCATCACCTTTAATTGTCAGAGTTCTTTTAGCTAGAAAACTGATAATCAGATGAGTTTCAAAAGATAATCCCTCCCTGAAGTTTTCAGTTTAGGTTCAGAGTTAACCTCTATACCCACTGATGCTGTTGGAATTCCAGGGATGTAAGTCTGTCAATAGGATATGTAAAATTACTTTACTCCCTCTGCTCCCTCCATTAACATCTGATTTTTTTTCAAAGGTCAGACTTCATCCTTCTAAACAGCTGTAAACATGGAAACAAAGCCTCCTGAGATGTCTCAAAATATATATACCTTATTTTGGAGGAATCCTTCCCAGTCTGCTTATTCTACATTATATAAAAGTCTAAATATAATAGCCTTGTGTTTTATTTTTCCAAGTTCGGGAAAGATAGTTGCGTTTAAGTTGAAACAACCAGTTTTAAAGTGACAGCAGGTGAACTGTGACGGACTGGAGGAGAGATATGCTTATTATCATTATCTGATATTTTAATGTTTATATTGATATTCTAATTAGCGAAAAATATGTCATATAAGGTGACAGGAAATTTGAATTTACTGTCTAAAATATCCTTAGTTCTTTGACTATACACTTATTTTATTCAGTGTTCTATTACTTGTATGGCCTTTGTGTATTAACTGTATTTGTCTCCATGGTCATAGGGAACTAGAATTAGGTTTGTTTATTTTGTTCTGTTTGTTGCCATGAAAAACAAAGGAAGCACCAACTGATACTATATAGCTGAAAACAGCAAATTCCAGTAGTCTGGAGAACTATAGTCCTATGGCTGAGGCTTACATTTTTGATTAAAAATACATTTACCAAATAGCCTAATTTTTTTTTTAAGACAATTCACATACCATAACATTTACCGTTTTGAAGTATATATTTCAGTGTTGGTTAGTATGTTTACAAAGCCTTATACTTTTAAGGAAACATTTTTACTTAAGTATTTTAACTATATTTCTTTTCTTAGGTGTAAGTCTTTACTTTTGCCCATGTGGTTACTACTTCCTATACTCCTCTTGCCTTCTCTTGAATTCTTTTTGATTTGTCTAATATCATACCTCTTCTGGGCATGCTTTCTTGATTCCTCATACATTTAGTTTCCTTATACTCTGTGCTCCCACAGTCCTTTTTTATCCCTTTATTATATTACTTATCACACTTATATTATAATTATCTCTTTAGTTATTTGTCTTCTCTTTCAGCCCATTTATCTAGGACTGTTCTTGTTTTTCTGTAATCTTCAGAAGCTGTAACAGTGCCTAATGTGGTAGGCATTTCAGTACACATTTATTGAATGATTATTACCTTAGATAGTTCTGGCTGCCCATAAGCCTTAAACATATACTAAGAGCTTGATACATTGTATTCAGTGGTGAATATTAAAATAAGAACTTTTGTTGCTGGGAATAATACCATTGTAGTATTTGAAGGAACCAACCCATGCTCACCTAATACATGCACACTCACACATTCAAACGAGTACACAAAGCAAATTGAAATCCATAGAGGTTGAATGACTTAATGGTCAAATTGGAACTAAAAACCGTTACCTCATTTTGTCCTATACTATTCTGTTATCTCTTACACCTACAGCTTAATCCGGTAATTTACAATGAAAGTTCATTTGTTTCCAAAAGTTTAGGAAAAAGACTTTAAAAATGTTAATTTAATTTATAATATTATTTTTCTGTTTTTAACTATAAGGAACTAGTTGCCAATTAGAATATTGGAAAAGAAGTGTTAAACAAAACAACATTTTTTTGTGTTCCAGACCTCCGTGAGTGAAAGCCTTCAGAGGGAAGCTGCTAAAAAGCAAGCAATGAAACAGGTAAGGTCAAAGAGTAAGTTAAATGGATTTGGTGAAGTATTTCAGCTTACATTTTTAAGTATCAGTTTTGGTATCTAGGTGCTAAGTCTAAACAGAATAGGTGTGTATAAAAAAATAATTTTATCTTGACCCTTGTTTTTTGAAAATGTAAGATGTTTCTTGATTTATATAGATCACTGGTTTCTTGTATGAATTTTAAAGGAGAAACCACAATGAAGTATTAGCTTTTTATTGCTGTTATAGATTAAACCTATTTCTACTTTCAGATGACTCAGTAGTCTGATAGTAGATTACATATGATCTAATAATTCCTACTAGTGAGTTTACTTGTTAAAAAATCCTTTACAACCAAAGTGATTTCACTATTTTATAATTATTTGAAATTTATCTACCAAGAAAGGAGAATTTCAGATAATTTTAATAGACTTGGTAGCACCTCGTATTTATATAGTATATTTCCAAGCACTTTTTATATACATAGGTTATCTTTTTATAAATTCTACAAACCTCTTAATAGTCATTAAAAAATCTGAGACTTCCAAAGGATAAATTACCCCTCATGATCACACAGCTAATTACAGAAGTAAGCCTAAAGGCTTACTAATTTTTCTACTGTGACACCAATATATCTTAGATTTAGCTGCTGCAGAACATAGTGAAATTAAACAGTGGCAAAGTCCTTTCCTTTCAGTGTGAATTCTTTCCCCCTCTACATTTTCTATAATTTTTGGCCTATTTCTCCCTCATCTAACCAAAATCCAGCATAAGGATAAATTTGTTACACACATTCTTTGTGCCAGACATTATAACAACTACTTTCTAAGAATTATCTTTAATTCTTACCGCAATCCTGGGATAAATACCTTTTTGATCCCCATTTTGTAGTTGAGGAAATGAAGGCAAAAAGAATTTATGTGACTTTCATGAGGTCTCATACTTAGTAAATGGTCAAGATATGTTCAAACACAGGCAGTGAAATTGCAGAGTCTAAGCTTTTAGCCACTGTGTTTTACTGCCTGGGGAATGGGCACAGAATTCTATATTTAGTTATATTAAGATATTTTATTAGTTATTTTAATTATTTTAGTTATTTTATTTATCTTAGTTTCCTAGTGTATTGTGTAACTCAGCAGCCTCAAAATGATTTAATATACACAAAAAATCATAAACTGTGATTAACATAAATTTTAGAGCTCTAGAATTTTGGAGACACCATCAAGTTCAACTTCTTTGCTATATAAATGGGAGAATTAGTACCAGAGAGTCTGGTAACTTCTCCAAGGTCATGTAGGTATCTTATTTTCTAGAGTTCTTTTGACATTTTTGTGCTGCCTTTTCTTGGTCACTTAAAGCATAAATCTCAAGTCTAATTTCATTCTTAACTCTGGCTTGTTCAAAGCCACTTTTTCTGTTTAGTGAGATTTTTTCATGGCTTGCTTGGAAATTGTAAATGCTGCTACCGTGCTTCTAGTACCTCTAATCTGCCTGCTGCTGCTTTGCTTTCCCACCTATACCTCCTACTTTTCACCTTATTCCCACTTGGATGTTTCAGCTCTTATCTTCTGCTTTGATCCCAAACTTTTATCATGAAGAATACTAGCTTGATTGCATGTACTAAATCTAAGAGGAAAATAGTAAATGTTGTACTTTCTCTAATAGACTACTTTTTTCTTTCTTTCTTTTTATTGTTTTATCTGAACCTCATGTGTTCAGAACTGATGACATTATTATTGTCATCATTGGAAAAGTATCATTGGAAAAACTTGACATGTCATCATTAAATATAATATTTTTTATAGGTCTTTGTGTTGTCAAAGAAGTTCTTTCTAATCTTGATTTGAGATTCTATTATTTTTTTTAATCATGAATGAACTGTGTAAAAAGGATAATACTTTATGACCATGTTTGATTCATACCAATAAAGTAAGGTCGGTGCAACTTTAGAAAAGTCCCATTGTAACGTACCACAAATGTTATAAACCCAACATAGGCTTAAGGTATTATCCTTTTTATATATCATTGCATTTGGTGTACTAAAATTTGATTAAGGATTTCTGTATAATGTTGAGTTTTGCATAAGTGAAATTGGCCTATAATTTTTCTTATTTTTCACTGTAATTATCCAGATTGAAAAAAATATAAAAATCTTACAATCTTAAGGTTTGCTGGGTCTTAATGAGCTAATGATAATTGTTTTATAAATTTGTTTCTACTTTATTAATTTATGCCATCACAAATTAATGTTCTCTTTATTCTGCTTTCTTTGGGTTTATTTTGTTATTTTTTTAACTTTTTAAGATGAGTACATAGCTCTCTTTTTCAGTCCTCTTTCTTTTCAAATATATGTATTTAAAGCTATACATTTCCCTCTAAACACTGGTATCTCTGCATCTCACAAATTTTGGTATTTTTGTTATTCAGTTCAAAATATTCTCTAATTTACATTATGATTGCTTTTTTGACCCATGGGTTATTTAGAACTTAATTTCTAAACATATAGGGGCTTGGGGTTTCCTTTTTTTTTTCTTTTTTTTTCTTTTTTTTTTTTACTAATTTTTAATATGATTTCTTTGGGTTCCAAGATCATGCATTGTATTGTTTCATATCTTTAAAATGTGTTAAGATGAACTTTATGATCCAGTAAATAGTTTTTATAAATATCCTCTATGCTTGAAAAATGTTCTGTATGTTTCCATTAGGCCAGTTGTGTTAATCCATATATAGTCATACTAATTTTTTTGTCTGTTCTGTTGATCACTAAGAGGCATATGTTGAAATCCCCTACTATGGTTGTGGACTTGTCTATTTTTACTTAGATTTCTGTTCAGTTTTTTGCTTTATATATTTGAGACTGAAGTTAATGACTTATTTCTACACAAGTGCTCTCCTGCTACTTTCCCAGTAATATAAAGGCATGTTATCAATTAAAATAGCCCTGCTGTCACTTTTCCTTTGCTGGTGATTATTTCTTGTATTCCATGTTTTCCTCTTTCAGTTCTCCAGGTTGGTTTTGGGGAGAGAGCAGCAGTACTAATTCACCATGTAGGCAGGAGAATCATTGTTTTTCTGAGGTTAAAGTAAATGTTGAAAAGTAAGAAAATTTAAAAAATTTTTATGCCTTACAGTAATATTCCAGAAAGTTACTATTCAAAAACCCAGGAATATCAGGTTGATTCTTTGAATAATTGTAATATCACCGTGTCACTTAAAAAATATCCCTCTTTGCACATTGCAGTAGGCTATGTAGCAATTCAAGAAAAAGTTAAAACGTGTGATCTCTGTGCCTCAGGAATTTACAAGCTGGGACAAGAGATTAAGATTTGTGAAACAACTAGAAAGTAATAACATCAAACATACTATTAAGAGCTAAATATTGCAGTATAGAATGTGCCATCAGAAAGAAATCATTGGGGGTAAAAGTCCTCCTGAGGACAAATAGCCTCATTTAAGATTAAGAGGTAGGGTTTGAGCTGGCCCTGAAACTCTAGATAAGATTTTGAAAGCAGGAAGAACATTTAGATAGAAGGAACATAATGAACAAAGGCAGAGGACTTTATACAATTAAAATTGCAAAAATGTTAATTATAAAATGTCCTCATTTTTCTGTTATGTTGGGAGCTTTTTAAAAATTATTTCCTACCATTTGGAAACAACTAAAAATGATAAAGTTTAATATATAATGTAATAGAGGCATCTTAAAACCAAGGTTAGATGTTTCTGTTATACCATGGACCTTTTGACCTTTTTATGTGAATAATTCTGTTAATGTACACATGGATAAATAATAGTGAACATTTATCAAACACTCTGTCGGGTTCTGTTCTGAGTGTTTTAAGTTTATTAAATTATCACTCCAATAACTCAGTGTAGATAATTATTTTCATTTTTTTTTAGATGAAGAAATCTGAGGCACAGAAAAATCATTCGAACCTGCCAGAGTAGCTAGAAAGTATAGAGCTAGGATTCAAAACCAGGCAGCGTGGCTCTGGAATTGTTGTTCATATTTTTTGTCTTAAAATGTGATTGATATAATTTTTATGATACATTTCTGATTTATGATCCTGTCTCAGTAAAATTACTTAGACTTTTTGTGGTATCTCTTAGCTCATATTTTTGAAACATGTTTAATTTTTTTTTTTTTTAAGACTAAACTGGAAATCCAGAAGGCCCTTGCAGAAGATTCTACTGTATATGAATATGACAGTATTTATGATGAAATGCAGAAAAAAAAAGAAGAAAGTAATCCCAAATTGCTTTTGGGAAAAGACCGAAAGGTTCGTAGCTACAAATACAAACTTTCTTTAACCTTGACTTGTATCTTGTATCTTAATTTTACTCCGCATGAAGATGATCTGAGAAAAAGCTTTAGGTATTTGAAGTATGAAGAGCCCCTAGTTCCAGTTATTCTAAATTGAACTTAGAACCCAGGAAGCCCTACATTTAGTATTCTAACAGGAGCAAGTGAATCATCTCACAGCTTTGTAAATTTTGTTTTTTGCTTTAAAACCTTTGTAAATAATTTTTTGAAAAAATTTTCATAGGAAGTCTTTGTTCTGATCTTGTTTATCTTTGTGTTTTATCAATCCTCTCATTTTTTTTATTGCTTCCTACTTGGTAATGGAATGATCTGTACACATATGATTAGATTTTTAGTTTGAAAAAATTAGAAGGCAGGGAGAATTGAAATAAGTTCAAATTTTCTATCATTCTTTCACAAGCACAGATTGATTTTTAAGGATGTTTGCATCTTACAATATCTACCAATAAAGTGGCGTAAAATTAAAGCTACCATTTTAAATAATCATCTTTTAGCTAATGTGAAAAACTAGTAGGAACCTTTCCAATTCACATATCTGTTGAAGAAGTATTAAGATAATACCAGTAAAAAGCGTGAGAAAAACGGAAAATTACTTATTTAGTTTGAAATTAAAAAATAATAAAATAGCACTTTGAAAATTTTTTGTCTTTACATTTAGATATTTTTGGAAAAGAATTTTAGTTTCACTCTTGCTAGTCAATTTTTTAAAATAAATTTATTAATTTTAATTAGTTTCAAGTATACAGTACTTGGTTAGACATCTATAGTGGTCATAAAACGATCTCCCCAATTACTCCCTCCCTCTCCTGGCCCTCCACTTAGCCATCATATTAATGCTAACTGCATTCCCTCTGCTATGCTCCCCATCCCCATGCCCAACTATCAACTACTAATTTGTACTTCTTCAACCCTCACTCCATTCTCTCAGCCTCCAACCCCTGTCCCCTCTGTCCATCACCAAATTGTCCACTATATTTGTGAGTCTATTTTTGATTAGTTTGTTCTTTTTGTTCCTTAGATACCCCATATATGAGTGAAATCATGTGATATTTATCTTTCTCTGACTTATTTCACTCAGCATAATAACCTCTAGGTCCATCAATGTCGTTGCATCTTGCTAGTAAATTTATATTGAGAAGATGACAATCCTTCCTGTTTGTATTGGACATTTTAATCTTAATTCATGATAAAAACTAGAATATTAACAATTATTATCTTTTACTCTTTCCTAAATAATCATATTTTCCCCCAGCCCAAATATATTCACAACTTACTAAAAGCAGTTGAGATCAGAAAAAAGGAACAAGAAAAAAGAATGGAAAAGAAAATACAGAGAGAACGAGAAATGGAAAAGGGAGAATTTGATGATAAAGAGGCATTTGTGACATCTGCTTATAAGAAAAAACTGCAAGAGAGAGCTGAAGAGGAGGAAAGAGAAAAGAGAGCTGCTGCACTCGAAGGTGAAATGGAAGAGGGAGAGGGTAGAAGGAAACAGAAGCGGCAGAATTCTGCCCTATGGTTAGCCGTTTGCTCTGTCACTGAACTTTTAGATTATAATGTTATAGTCATAATTTATATGAATAATGGTATACAATATAATATTACAGGAGATTTTAACTAAAAACACAATCATATTCTCAGTAACTATTACATCTTTTGTTTAAAACTATGGTCATTATAAGTCGTTGCCTTGGAAAATGATTCTAAATGTAAAAACATTGATTATAAGGCATAATACCATGAAATTTGTCAGAAGCAATATAAACTGAGATTTAAATTCTAGCTATATTTTCTGGGATGAGAAAACTAGTGGCGTATCAACCAAGGAGCATCAACTGTGCATTTAGAAAAACAATAACATTAATTCAAGAAAGAACAAAGACGTGCAGAGGCCAAGAATATCATAGTGCTTTCTACTCGTCATTTTCAAGATCTAAGTAAAATATGTTCCTATAAATAGCTTAATTGGCAAGTGCTCATCAATTTTAAGTGGAAGTAAACCAAATCTGTAAGACTTGGTCTAAGCATGTACTGTGTGTTTATCTAGAGCACCAGTCAGCAAACTTTGTGTAAAGAACCAGATAAGAAACATTTTAGGCTATCTCTGTTGCACCTATTCAGTTTTGCCTTTGTAATGCGGAAGCAGCCCTAGACAGGGCTATATTCCAATAAAAATTTCTTTACAAAGATAGGCAGCAGACCAAATTTGGCCTATAGGCTATAGTTTGCCAACTCTTGATCTAGAGAATAATTTACACACTGTATGTTATATACTCTATTCTTGTAAAACTGAACTGCATTTTTGTCTCGTTGAATATATTCTCACTTTTGCTTTCCCTCTTAGCACGTTTGGATGTAACCAAGCAGAAAGATCTCAGTGGATTTTATAGGCATCTATTAAATCAAGCAGTTGGTGAAGAGGAAGTACCTACATGCAGCTTTCGTGAAGCCAGGTAAGATGTGACATATGGAATATTTAGAAGAAAGATACTGCTCATGATCTGTGGTTGTAAGATCATCTTAACCTTCTAGAAGATAGAGGATTATAGCATTGCATGTTGTTTTGTTAGCCGCACCCGACCTAATTGAATGGATAGGGATTTACAGTTTCTTAATTTAAAAACCTATAGATTTACTTCAGGATCATTTTTATTCTGCAGTAAACCTACACACATGTTTAGGTACTATATAGAAAGAGAGATGGTGTATTTTTATAAGTAAAACCCAGCCTCCATAAAATGTAAGATTTACATATCAAGGGCTGGAAATGTATGGCTGTTTAATATTAAAAATAAAATTTTGGAAAAATCTAAAATATTTTTATTTCAAATACTCAGTTGCTACATTTGGCTAGTGGCTAACCATATTAGACAGCACAGATAAGGACATTATCATTTCTATAGACATTTCTATTAGTATTCGTTTGGAAAGTAAGGATTGGAAGGATTTCAGAATAAAATTATAAAGTACTAAATAAGAATGGTGAAATGATTATGCCATAAGTATATAGCTAAAAGTAGAGGGAGAATGTGTCCTAAACTTGTATTTAAACTTTTTTGGGGAACAGAAACTTTTAGATAAGAGGATCTGAGTCTGTTGCTGGGGAAAGGCAGGAGAATGGAATTAAGGATGAAGAGAAAGAATTAGGCTTATATTTCCCACCTACCCCCCAACTGCTAAGTTTTGATTAAAATATTGATAAGAATTATGAGTCTAAAATATATTTAAAAGTTGAGATTTTGAATGGAGAATTAGTATTTCTATTAAATAGTTGTAAGGCCAGCTATGAAACTTTATAGTGTCTTTTTAATAGTTGTACTTCTCAGAGTCTAATAGAATTCATAATTATTAGTGAGTTTGTTAGCCAAGATAGTTCTGCTAGCAGTTTCTAAAGAACCATAGTCGTTGCTCTCTTAGTGTGATTAATAAGAATGAATGTGTGAGTAATATAAATAAATTAACCACGTTTATTAGCTGGGAAAATGTAGATGATGTAAACAATTGTAGTGTTACTGATTATAATAGCTGGATGGATTCATATATTTCCATTCTGTTGTGATAGGTGCCAAGGGGTATATCAGGATACCGGTGCCTTTTGAATCATAAGAATGTTTATTTAGTGATAGTTAGAATTAGATTTTACTATCATTTTGCTGTGGGGGAAAAAAAATTATTTTCATCTATTTCCAGGACTTTAAATTTTTTGGAAAGAAAAATAAAAATCCAACAAAGAGCCACAACTTCATGTTGTGAAAATACTACTAAGATCCAAAATGTATCTTACCTTCCCTACGTATTCTTTGTCTGTGCTGAGCAAATTGAAGACTGCACAGATCACTGCCTGAAGATTCTAGTGGTCTGATACAGAAAGGCTCATTTTCTTTTTCACTTCTATCAATGTTGAAAATTCTGAATGGTTATAAAATGCTAGTTTGTATATGTTTACAAGATAAATAGACATCAGCACCTTTTTGCATTTGGGTAATCAGAAGGTATATATAAGTTTAGTTATATCAGGTATTGAGAACACTTCATTTGTTTACTACAGTTGATAATGTAGCATTCAGTGTTATATTATTTTTTAAAGGTCTGAGATAAAAGAAGAGAAATCAAGGGGTTATTCTGATGAAGTAAGTTCAGAGAACAGAATACTACATGAGAAATGCATTCTCCAAACTGTTGTGAAAGTAGAGGAAAACCCAGATACAGACAGTGACTTTGATGCTAACAGCAGTGAGAATGATGAAATGGAGGAAAATAAAGTGAACTGCAGAAGGGAAAAGGACGTAGAGACCTCTGAGAATGACTCCAGGCATCACAAGAATCAAACCAACTCACGGTCATCTAGTGAAGAAAGAGAGCATGGTACCAAACGCCACACAAAAAGTTCCAAGTCAAGAGGACATGAGAAAAAGGAAGACCAGCACCAAGGGAGACAGTCCAGGGACCAGGAGAACTATTACACTGACCGTGATTACCAAAAAGAAAAGGATTCCCATAGGCACAGAGAAGCCAGTCATAGAAATTCCCACTGGAAGAGGCATGAACAAGAAGATAAACTGAGGGGAAAAGACCAAAGGGAAAGAAATGACAGAGAATGGAAAAGGGAGAAATATCCCACAAGAGAACAAGAAAGAAATAGACAACGAAATGATCATGACCGACACAGTGAGAAAGGGAGAGAGAAGGAAGAGAAAGGCAAAGAAAAGGAGGAGCATATGAAAGCAAGGAAAGAAAGATATGAAAACAGTGACAAATACGGAGATAGAGAAAAACAAGAAATAAGTGTTCAATCTTCAGAAAGAAAGCGAGACAGAAAGGAAAGCAGCCCGAATTCTAGGGCAAAGGATAGGTTCCTGGGCCAGGAAAGATCCAGTAAAATGATAAACATGGAAAAAGACAAAGAAAGAAACCCAGAGAAACCCTCTAGCTCTGAAACATCGCTGGGAGCAAAACACAGAATCACAGAGGAATGCCAGGAGATAGGCAAAGAACAAGAGAGAGCAGACGAGGCCTTGAACAAGTTTGCAAAACGGAACAATGAAGAAACTGTAATGTCAGCTAGAGACAGGTACTTGGCCAGGCAAATGGCACGGGTTAATACAAAGACATATATTGAGAAAGAAGATGATTGAATTCCTGGAACGTGTTGTGGGAACACGTAAAGGAGCATGTTAATAGTGGTTGGGAGGGTATTTTCGAAATATATTTTCAAAATTTATTTTTGTTTTAGGTTTAAGTCAAAAGTCAGTCCTTTTATCTTGAATGTTTGAAATGATATATAATATTTACTTACCAATACCACATTCTTGATTGTATTCAGCCAACCTAAACAGTCTACTAAATCCTGGTATTTGGAGAATATTAGCTACAGTACAACCATTAAAAAATGATTTAAACAACTCATAATGTTGGCTTTGTTCCAGAAACTGTTTGTTTTATAAATATTGTTTCAGATAAAATTATGTACATTTGAACAATAGGGAATATTGTTATACTTTGTTTTTAAATTTGTATTAAAGTGTAAAATATGAATATATATCTTGTCCTAATAACTTTTTAGCTCAGAGCATACTTGGCTTAACTGAAAATAAAAATAGTGGTGTGTTTATACATGTAATTCATGCTTATATTTTATTTTAAAAGTAAAGCCATTCACCTGTGCCACAGTTTCTCTTATATTTCATTAGAAATCACTTTAATTCTGAAACCCATGCAAGTTAGTAAATTGATTATGTATATAAATCAGTTTTAGCTAAGTGTGAAAAGATGGAGACATTTAGCCTAAATGAAATTAATTTAAGATCCATTTGGCCTATTTATGAACATGTCTTGTTTATATACCCTAAAAAATATAATACAGCTTATTATAGCTTCCATTCATATATCAAAATAAAACCAGAATATCTGTACTAAGTCTTTGAAACTTACCATTTGAAATTAAATATTATAAATTTTTTCATGGGAAAGGATGAATAATATGGAGAAAATAGTTCTCTAACCAGTCTTCTTCCCTTTAAGAAAGTGCTATTTTTATCTCTCATACTTAACTTTATCATAGTTAACCACATTTTATTTTTAAGATAAACTTTGTTTAATAAGAATATTGACTTTTAGAAAAAAATTGTAATAAGGATCAAATTTAGCATTCATAAATCATTTTATTATACTTTTAAAACCAGAAAGAAAAAGTAACACAAAGCTAATGCTCTTATCTCTTGACTGACACATTAAATATCATTTACATCCTAATACTTTAAAATAGATCATTGATGGTGACAAATACTTAAAAAGCACTGATTCTATGTGCACAGAGGGATATAGTATAATGTAACTATGAAAAAGCTTGGGTGGGATTATGGAAGACCATGAGACGGACTAAAAGTCTTCAACTCTGTTAGAAAATTTGGTTCCTTAAGGTTGTTAGAACTAGCGCCTCATATTTGGAAGATTAACCAGGTATGCAAGAGGGAGACACTGGAGTCAGGGATCTGATAAGCTGTCAATTTCCCTCTTCTAATAGTTGAGACTTTCACAAAGCAGCTTGGATGCTTTAGCTAGGAAATATACAGCTGACCCTTGAACAACATGGGTTTGAACTGTGTGGGTACAATTATATGCAGATTCTTTTCAATAACTATAAATTATTTTAACTTTAGCTTCGTTGTAAGAATATAGTATATAATACATATACAAAATATTTGTTAATTGACATTGGTAAGACTTCTAGTTGGTCAATAGTAGGCTATTAATTGTTCAATTTTGGAGGAGTCAAAAGTTATACACGTATTTTTAACTGTTCGAGAGATCAGTACCCCTAACCTCCTCACCTCTGTATTGTTCAGGGGTCGACTATATACTTTTATAACTAAGTTTGATATAACTCAGGGAGAAGCTGCAAATTAAGGGTTTTTGTCTATTTCCTTCCCCAGATATAACATGTTTTTGCCTCTCTGGCAGGCACTTACCCCTTTTCTGGGAACAGTGCCTTGATTTTCCCTTGGGAGAGTACCCCTTCACTACTCTTAGTCCAGTGATTCAAATAGGGCTGAAGGATTGTCAGCCTGAGCTGTTTAAGAATGGCATTTGTTCTGGGGGCAATCCCTGCACAAAGTGTCAGAATCTGAATGGGTTATGAAGGCTGCTGTGTAGAGGTAGCAACAGCAATGAAATGTTGCTGACACTCAGGGCAACTGATCAAATAAGTATAAAATATTCAGGGTGATGGGAGCCAGGTTTCACACTGCGTTAGAAGGGATTATAAATATGAAGAGAGAAAACTAAAATGAACTTTGTAGTTTTGGGTTGGATTTGGAAGTAATGGTGTGAACTCTATATATTTTCACGAGAGATAATTATAGATGCAAATGTGTATGTGCTTACACATACATACACACTTTAGTTCTGTCCAGTGAGAGTACTTGGTAGCAGTGACACTACTTGCAATGAGCAAAACCTACCACCTAGATCTTGGTTTCTAAATACATTTTTCACTAAAAATAAGAAATGGCTGTGGTGGAGAAAGTACATGATGATACTGAGATATCATTCCAGAAAGTAAGGAAGTTTTTTAAGAATTATGGAACATGTAAAAAAGACAAGCCAGCTTGAAAGGACTCTCATTAACAATGTAGGACAATTTGAACAGCAAAATAATAATAATGGATTATAATCCACTGACTAAAGTATCTGTAAAAAATGAATGAATTAAGAATTAGATGAGGAACAGGGAATTTGCACACTCAGAGTAATCCCTCCCTAAAAAATACTATTTAATCACAAAAGAATACAGTGGAAAGCCTGACAAGTGGTTGAAGTTAACATCACCAGTATGGGGACAAATCAAATCGTGCTCTACCTGATCCAGTACAGTGAAAAGCACATCAGTGTCATGATATTTCAGCCAAAATACATTTCCTGAATCTAATCATTAGGAATCAATCATTAAATCAAATTGAGGGACATTCAGCAAAATAACTGGCTTGTAGTCTTCAAGTGTCAAGTTCACAAAAGTCAAGGAAAGCCTGGGAAGCTTGCAGATTGAAGGAGGGAAAAAAGACATGAAACTAAATGAGAAGTGTGATTCTGGAATGGGTCCTTTTGTTAAAAAAAAAAAACATTGAATGAGGTCAGATTAGATGGTGGTAATGTATCAAAGTTACTTTCCTGATTTTGATGGTTGTATTGTGGTTATGTAGGAGAATGAATGTCCTTGTTTGTTGGGAACACGTCCCTCATGATTTTCTTTTTTGGATTTAGAATCCGTGTATTTGGTTTTCTATAGATGATGATTTGAAAGACATGCAAGTAACCTTTGGCCAGCAATCAGAAAACTTAGGTATTTTCTAGGTGTGTGAACTTGGGCAAATCAATTAACCTCTCTCAGCCTCAGGCCCCTCATCTGCAAACCTGGGACAATAACATCTGTCGTGCAGAGCTATGATGATCAAATGGGATATATGTGAAAGCATATAAAGTTCTGAACAAATTGCAAAGAATTGTAAGAATTAGCTTTATAGAAATTTAATATCTAATTCTAGGTGGTTTTGGTACTACATATTTATAAATTATATGCAGTGATATTTTGGGGGGATGTGTAAATGTTTTGACAATGTATAGTTAAGATTTTTAATTAAGGATGTGGAAGGTTTTTTTTTATGAGAACAAATCATAAAAGTTATTACAGTAATAGTTCACAGCGGAAGGCATTTACTGATGTCTCACAATCTAACTTGGCGCATTTATGACCAAATAGTGAAAAATTAATATAGGGGCATTCTTTGCATCTTAAAGAGACTACTCTTTTATACAAATAAAACTTAAGTTTAAATCTGCCATTAAAGTTTAAAAATGAAATGTTTCATCTGAAAAATAACATTGGTAAATTTCATATTACCACCATTTACAGAGGTGAATAGTGGAAGAAATTTTCTTGTTCTTAGCTGTAAGTAATATGGGAGAAAGTGAAAATGAGGGAAAAAGAAATACCATTTATATAATTTAACTGTAATCTAGAGTTTGAAGCACCTCATTGATATGTCCAATGCACAAAGTATCCTGAAAAATTGTAAGTCAAATCATATTTTATATGCCATTGGAGAAATAACTGCAAATTCTTCTTTAAAGTCCCTAATTTTATCTTTTAAAATATATTTTTTCTATATCAAGTTTTAAGATAGGTAGACCTTTAATATTAGAGTTCAAATAATCTTTCAAAATAACCTTTTTTAAAAATTTTGCAAGTGCTCTTATTTGTTTATGGGAATTTAGATATTTTAGCATAAAGACGGGATAACTCCTCCCCAAATATTAGTAGTTTGGAATGTCAGTGTTTACAAATTGCTAGGAATAAATTATCTACTATATTTGGAGTCTTCAATTACAGAATTGAAGGACTGATGTTATCTGTCCTCTTCCCTAAGTGTAAAGTTTTTCAGCAGACATTAAAAGTTTTTTCTAATAAGGTGCTCCACGAATACACAGTTTCTAAATTAGAGTTGGCCAGTGAAGAAAATCTATTTTGATAGCTTAAAAAACAAAAACTTACAGTGGCGGTAGCGCAGCTGTTTTGCAAGAATTTTGTGATGTATTGATAAGAGAAAAACCACCCAAAATTCAATGGAAATATATTGTGTCATTTCCCAAAAAAGACTCCTCTTGAAAAGGTTTTTTGAAATACCTGATGTAGAAACAATACTGAATAGATTCCAACTATATGAAACAAAAGGACAGGCATATCTAAGATCTTATCCTAAAATATCTTTTCCACTGTGGTAAATACCCACTAAACTGATTGAAAGAGGTATTATTTCATTCTAGTAGAGGAAGTAAAACTTAAGTTCACCTTTCTTTAGAAATTTCCAGGTCCCAAGAAGAGCAGAGAAATTAGCTTAGTTACGAGGTTTGTTCCTACCTCTAAAATAGTTATCTGGACTTTAAAATATTGTTCTCTCATTAAAACTTAGAGGCAGTTAAGCAATGAGGGGAAAGGGTGATACTACAGAAAGTAAAAAGAAAGAACAAAAACTTTGAAACAGCCCTTCATGAAACTAAACACAACAAATTTTAATAAATATTGACATTTCTGATATTGAAGAAAAAACTCCTACTGTTTCAAGTGGACCAGAAAAGCTTACTATAGTGTAGGAATATTCCCTATTGTAACATTTCTGTATTTGGATTTATGAATTTCATTCTCTAACGTGCTTCTCAAGCAAGCACATTCTAAGCTCACTTTCCTAATTTAGACCCTATGTGAAACTCTCCTTGCATTTTAGATAATGTGTGAGCTCCATGATGACTTTAAAATATACAACTTCTCACATAGCATATGACTATTTTGCTTTTATTACATTACTTATGGGGACGACCATTTGTGGCGTAGTCTCTCTGAGGAACTTAGTGCTCTTCTTCATCCCTTCCTGACAAAGACAGGAGATTGAAAAATGCCTTCTGATTACTGCTGTCTTTAATGATATCTTTAGCACCAGGTGTTGATTTATGAGTAAAGAGACATGCTTAGAAAAGAACTAGGCTCGAATTATACCACTGGGTAGTTAAACATTATCTAAGATATGCGTAAAAGCACAGTTGAGCTATTGCATTCCATAGTTTTAAAAGCACAGTTGAGCTATCGCATTCCATAGTTTTAAGCTTTGCTTTGACAGTGAACTCCAAATCAATTATACAACAGATAGAAAAATTAGGCCAGTCTTTTCTACTTATCAGAAAGAATACAATTCTTCCAGGAGAATAATCTCCCTTTTAAGGAATGGGGGTGGGGTGTGTGAGTTAACTGGAAGTTCATCCTTGCACTTAAATTTTAAGATTAGTGGCATCAAATTAACAAGCTAAGTAAAAAGAATGGTGAGGGAGTGACTCATCTGACAATAACTTGCCTTATTTTGAGATTTCATTATTTGATTTTGGAGCTATTCTATTGATTTTTGAGTTTGTCAGGGTCTTTGCATACATATCCAGATGGGGCAGCCAGGACAATGAATTTAGGTTACACGTTATATGCATTCCATACCACAAATGGAATTAGTTGTAAATGGGTTGTAAGTTTTCTAGAAGAGAGATGTATTCTTTGGACTTCACTGCATATCAATAAAACAACTTCAGTCAATTGAATGGCCTCCATGTCTTTGTCTTGTGTCTTGCCTATTTCTTGGGAATTTCTTACTAATAAAATCACAAAAAAATTAACTTCAGTACCTAAATAATGTTAAAATTCCATTTGTAGTTTATATTTTTATGTAAATGCTACATTAGATTCAAAAGTTCTTTAAAAGATTATTTTAAAGTACGTCTACCTAAAGCCTTCCTTGAAAAAGTCCATAGTAGTATTGATAAATAGGGGTAAAGTAAATGCAAACTATGCAGAACAGAGATTTTAGATTTTTTAAAAAATCTATTGAAGTTTGAAACTTTTCAAAACACCTATATACTTCCCTTAATACCTGTCCTGTTAACACTGTTTGAAAAGTGCTTTTTTAAAAATGTTATCTTTGGAGACTGTGTAAATGTGTGTGGACTGGGGAGAATCCATATCTGAATATCTTTATAAAAGAAATTCTTAAAATTTGCAAAGGTATTGACCACTGAATATGCTGCCACTTATATAACCTCTCTCAGCGTGCTAGAAAGCAAAGAGAATGGAAATAAGGTAACAAGAAAGAATGAAAAAGTAAAGATAATGAAGGTAGGTCAGCACAGAATGTTTCTTAATCTCCCTCATTTTTACCTCTAATACTTCGGGAAACTTCTCAGCAGCTATCATCTATAAGGAAAACATCCTGCTAGGAGAAACAAAGAATCAGAAATAGAAAGATGGAGGGGGAATACAGGAAGGTGGCCAGGAAGATTGAGAAAAGGAAGCCAACAGAACTATAAATGAATAAAACCAGGCCTCTGCTATATGGGTCTTCTTTCTATATAAGGCTGTTAGAATTAAATTTGATTTATATAGAGGAAATAAATGATGTAGAGCTAGATGATTGGGTCCTTTTATCATTAACTATGTTTTTATTTCCTTTAAGATTTTGATAAGTAAATCTCACACCGCAAGGTATAATTTGCTTCTCTACCTATGCATCTGAGAGTCACAAGCCACTGAAGGTCAAATTTACTTGGTCTGTATTAAGGGTTTTATGTGGAATGAAAGTTATTTACTGACCCTTTCTCAATTAGCCTTACTTAGATTCGATCTTGAAAATTATCTGGTGGGCTCACAATCCTGGTTGGTATTCAACCTGGAAGGGTCAAGGAGTTGGCGGGGGCTGGGGTGGGGTTGGCCATTTAAGTCTGGGCTATCCCAGACTCTCCAATTACTTTTGGATTGAGGATGACCTTGATTTAGGTTAAGGTACCAAGTCTACATATGCTATAAGCAAGAACTGGATTTATTCTCTTCATAAAGCAAAATAACCTCAACGGTCAAACTCAATCATTTGAAGTATACAGAGCTTGAATCAGATAGCCAACTGAACACCTAAGGTGTATTAGTCAATATCCATCTTCAAAGTAGTTCCTGGCAAAGCCATAGTGACTAATGAAATAGGCCAGATTTGCCTGTGGAACATTATCCTAAATGTTTAGTAGAAAGAGACAGGGAGATGACAATGAAGTGCAGCAGAAGCCAAAGACTGGCCCATAAAGGAAGGTGTTTGAGCTCATGTAGTGTCACTGGAAAAAGAAGGAGGCAGAGCATGCTGTAATTATACTCTTCAAATAATAACATATATACACATTTGAGTAGGTGGAATTTGTTAATGTAAGAAAAATTAGAGGAAATTCATATAGTTTGCAATGGGCCCAAAGTATTGGAATAAGGGAAGGATTCACTTAAACGACAGTATACACAGACACATGCTCACATGTACACATTATTTTTCAGTTTAGTTTCTTATATCTTCCTCTCCTGATTCCACAGCAGCACATGGGTTGCAGGGTTCTAGTAGGTCCAGCTATAGAATTCTATGCTACTCAGAAAATACATGGTTAGCAAGACACTATCCCCGTTTTCTCCTACATAGTTTATGCATTCATGTACAGTGAAACCTTTAGAAGCAAACAGACGTCAGATACCAAACATCAGAACAAGGAATGATACAGGAGACTTTCACAGACTTGATTCTAAATCCAATCCTAACTAATTATATGGTGGTTTTCATCACCTCCATATACACCCTTACGCATCCAAAATAGTTCAGCTGCATCACAGAGTCTAACACGGTAATATGTCCAGGAGATTTCACAGAAAGAAGTGGCTAGAGGCCATGAGAGTCTGGGCACCATAGTCTTTTAGGACTGCATCTCAATGAAAAAGACCCTTTCATTGTCAGGCTTAGCTGGAAACTCATTTAGAGGGAGAAGGCGAGGCGTGACTTGTCAGAAGTGGAGGAAGAGCTTGTTGGGAAGCCATTTTCCTCTCATTGAAGCACTTTATATGGCATTCAAGCGGATGTCCCCACAGGGAATTTCTGTTGGTGTTTCTGGAGTGATACTTTTAATAAGACGCTATTGGGAAGAAAATATAAAGTTATAAACATTCTTATAATTTAACAGTATTGTAAATATATTTTAACATTAATATTAAAACAAAGTTGTATAGCATTTTAGTGGCATTTAATAGCTGGAATAGTCTCATTGACTTTCCTTAAGGAAGGCATTCCCAATTTATTCATTCTCAACTGTGGATAAAACTGGAATATTCAAGAACTATAAACATCTATAAACTAATTAAGAAAGTCATTATATCACTAATGGGAGAAAATGATGAGCCATCAATAGAACCTCTGCTGGCCTATAACATGCCTTTGATGACCCAGGAAAGGTTACCTTTTCTCCGGATGGAGGAGGCTTCATGTGGCCACACAGGGCTTGTGGAGCAGAGTGAATGCTGGATCCTGAGCCCCTCCCCTCCCCTCAGCCCTGCATACACACACTACAGGCACAGTGCACAGTGCCATTAGCCACTGGAACAGCCAAGTTGTCACTTATTTAATGAATCCACCTATAAAGAAGTACTGGTTAGTTCGTCCAAGGGTGCAAATTATTACAAAATTAAATTTAAAAAGATGTGACCCTTAAGATCATCACTCCTAAAGCAATCTCATGCTCACAGGGAAAAAGCTGAAAATACTTACATTAAAATAAGCTGAGTACATAGAAGCTTTAAGACAGACCTGAAATACTCTTGGGCTCATGTATGAAATGGGCAGCTCGCCTTGTAAAAGTATCAGGGTGACATAAAGCAGCTCAGGGATGTGAAGAAAGACACAGCTGCACTGCAGAGGCTTAGAAAAATCTTTATTATGGAAACTAGACTTACTGGGGTGAGGTGATCACTTTGTAAATTATATCAATAGTCATCACTATGTTGTACACCTGAAACTAACATAATATTGTATGTCAACTATAATTTAAAAATTATTTAAAAAATATATTAAGTTGCTTAATAAAATCTTCGATGGCAAAAGTCTGTCTGTATGGTAAACAGGCCCAATTGGATCTGAAAGCATCTTTTGATATGTTTTTAGGTGAAGCGCTACTACCTGTCCTTTTTATTTCTTTCAATTTTTTTTATTTCTTAGTGCTGGCAGTTTGTTCTTCTTTAATGAGCAGGGCCTATGGAATTCAGAAAGTTTCATTCTCAGAGTTAATAAATTCACAAAATTGTGCGTGTTGTGTTCCTAATGACCTTAACATTCAAATACTGCAATCTCACACTGGAAACCCAATTAAAAAGGAGTGCTGCAGTGCTCAGCAGCTACCTGGACATGTCAAATCATAGAAAGCAAAATTTCACAGACCACCCTTCCTGTAGATGAATATGTAACCTGATTACACAGACCGCAAAACCCGATTACACAAAATTGTATCTTGCTAACTGTGAACTGGACACAGATCACTCTAACTAGTCTTAAGTGTTGTGCAGAGAGAAGAGAGGTATGGTGTATGGTGGAGGCAAGGCCCACAATTAACCACACTGTAAAGTAGAATAGTTCGTTTTTGTGCCCTATCCCCCACCTACCCATTCTGCTGCCCTTCTGGCTGCTAACCTGCCAAAATGCCAGGCCTACCTACATTTTCCATATTTTGACAGCATTTTAGTTGCTCTCATAATTTCTCATCCCTGGCCTTCTCCAAGGTCATAATCTAAAAAGTGGATCACTGCTGACATCTATAAATGCTTACTTATTAGGGGCCATCTTCCCAATATCTTTATGCAGGTTACTAGGGGCTTCTGTGATAATAACCTAATCAAGTTGATGACTCCAACCTTGAGACTTCCAGGCTGCAGGTGTTCTTCATGTTACAGGTGAGCAAGTGGTGGCTCACTCCACAAACTCCAACCTTGAATATGGTTAGAGCCCAAAAGAGTCAAGAAATTTACCTTTCCCTTAGTCTTTTTTTTTTTTTTTAACTATACCAAAATTTCATATGAGGCTTCCCTCCCTCGCAGATAGAATGATACGGACAATCAAGTATGGTATTTACAAATAATTACAGTCCCTTGGGACTCCTGGCAAAAAAAACATGACATTTTTTATCCCTCTCAGATATTAAGCATGCATGTGGGCATATTAAAGCTTTTGTGAAGTCCCAAAGTAAAGAAACCTATTTAACTTGCCGTAATCCAGTATTCTTTAAAATTACTTGACTACATTACCTTTCCCCCAGCAGTAACACCTATTGATATCCCACAGAACTATTGCTCCTTAAAATGCATTAACATGTGAGAAATGTTAATCCAGTCCAATGAGCACATTTTAATGATGAAGAAACTAAGATCCAGGGAAGGCAAGTAACTTGCCATAGCTGACTAGGTCTTTTCTCTCCTAGTCCTTGACTGACTGTATCATGATGCTTCCTGGTAACCCACTGTTCCTCATCTGGTGCTCTGCGGTGAAGATGGTCCTACAATCAGCCTTACCTCTGTTACTAATGGATGTGAGCTCTGTTAATGATACACCTTTGGGTGGCACTGCCTTATGGCCAACAGGAGGAATTTGCAAGAAAGATGACCAAGATTTGAGGGTGCGATCTGTGACCAAAGAATACTGACATTTATTGAGTTCTCACTGCTGACCTTAAACACTGGGTTTGAATCAACAGTCAGTGGACCATCATGACCACCATAGAGAACAACCTAAAGGAACAAAATTCAATGACTCTGGGTCTGAGCATATCTTTCAAGAAACACCAGAGTCCAAGGCACTTTGGAAGGAATGAGGTTAGGACTGGTTTGGGTGCAGAGTCCTGTTCACCTAGAATTCAGTTTTCCTGTTTGGAAGAAAAAATGAACTCAGTTCTCAGAAAGAATTATTTAACTGCCTTATGTTCTCTTGCTTCATATTTTTCATGAAATGTTTGAGGAAGATGAGTGTGATGGTCTCATGTTTGAGTTTTGCTTCTAAGAGCCCACAGATCAGCTCATCTCACTTCTCAGGCCATTGTGGAGTACAGGCCAGTCTAACTTTCCCCAAATACTACTCTCCACCTTTGAGTTTATCTCCTACAAAAACACCCACCTACACACCTGTAAGTGACCTGAACTGCTAACTCTAGCAACACAGGATGAAAAACAGCAACTCATCTCCCCTTAACCTCTAGCTCCAATTTCTACATTAGCAAACTACTAAAAACAAACTAAGGACAAAAAGAGAAACTGCACCTAAAAGTGAAAGAGCATTGGACCTGGAATCAGAAGACCTGGATTTTGAACCTCCCTGTACTGTGTGTCCTTGAAAAAGTCACTGAAAGAAGGAAATTTTGAGCAGCATTATTCCCAGCCTCAGCATCTTTGTCTGCTAATGATACCTGCCCATCTAATTCACAAGTTTTGTTTTTTTTTTGATAACAAAATGAGATAATCTACATGAAGATGCTTTGAAAAGTGCACAATATGATACAAATTTTAAGGTTCTGTTATTAAAGTTTTTATAGCACATTATTCATTACTGAAGTGAGTCTTGCTATAATGGCAACTTTTTTTTTGTTTTTTTTTTTACTCCATTGGCTAGAGCTAAAACGATGATATTGTTGCAACATCTTTATTTGATGATGCTTTTGAAAATAGCTGGTTAGTGAACTGACCACAGACGTTTCCATTGTACTCTCCACTTAAATCAAAATTTATATATTGCCCCAGACACCACCAATCTTAGGTCCATGCCCAACAGCGAGCAGGAACCAAAGCCGTTATCTGGTAAGTTTAGAACGCTAGACACACCTCAAGCTGCATGCTGTGGTGAACCCAATGACCAGCTCACTCTTTTGCTGTTGTATTTGAGGTTTATGGGAGATGCCTTAAGATGATAGTGGCAGCCATTACAGGTCTACACGATGTAGGTATATAAATATACAAGGTTGATAGCCTCCTGGTGAATTTCATACGATGAAATTGTCTCCTTCAGAGCATAACGAGAGAACTCTTTTTTCCCAAAACAATTACCAGTCTGAACACACGCACACAGTAGTACATACCTCCCTAAATGTCCCTGGAGTGGTAATCAGCCGGTAAGTTATATATGTGGGGATGCAGATGAAAGATGAGGTTCCTATGCAGTAACCCAGGATGATACTCCAGTGAGGATAATTATACTGGAAAAGTCGTAGCTGTGGCGGGCTCATCAAAAAACTGCAAATGATGAACTTAAACAAATTCCAAGAAACATTAAAAATCTTAACAGTGTTTGTGCAAGTAGAGACAGTTCTGATACTATGAATACCAGATGCTGAAACTAAAATACTTTCAGGAAATTCCCAAAATATGATATACCTTAGATTGAACATGCAGAATTCACTAATTTCTGTGCCTAAGCTGTAAAAATCAAAACAGTCAGGTGTTTATCTTGATTTTCCTCCTTACCTCCCACCTCAACCTCTACATCGGGGATGCCAAAGCCTCAGAACATTATTTAAGGGAGTTACAGCACCCACTTTAGGGTGAGAGGGAAGAGGTTGGCATTCATCAGGGGTGGTTTGGGCCATCTTATCAGACAATGAGGAATACGCTGGGTGACCTCTCCAAGGCCCCTGCCAGTCCTAGGACTTCCTGTTTCTCTCTGCTTTGCTTTCATTCCCCCTGCATTTCTTGGCACTGATTGTTTTTGGTCAGGTGGAAGGTACCTATGTCCAGGAGAGATAATAAGGTTCTCATTAAGTGCCTTAGCCTGGAGTTTCAACAAGGATGGCTCTGCCTCGAGGAATCTCGACAAAGAATGACTGCCTTTGTAATGAAAGGAATAATGGAAGAAAAAAGCAGCTTACTAGACGTTTTCCTTGAAAGTTCAGTGAAAATTTTGGCCCAGAAGAATTCCACAGTGTGGAATTTTTTCTTATGAGTTTTCTTATTTCAGTTTGCTTTCCAGAGAGATCGTAAATAGCAGTTTTTGCCTAGTAACCACTGTGCCGAAATCGTTATTGCTCTTGATTTAAGTTTATTTCATTATTTCATAGTCATAAAGAAGACAGTAATGTAAATTATTTGTGTGGTTAAACATCTATTTATATCTTTTTTTTTTCTTTGTCTGCAGGTAATAAAAAGGGAGATTGTTAAACACACATCCATCTTCTGAATGGTGTTATCCTAAGTCCAGGAGGAAGCTTTCGAAACAGGAGCCTGGCCAGTTGCAAACCCTTCTCTCTACTTAGTCTCCTCACCCCAAGACCTGGCACTAAGGAAGATAGTTTTGGAACAAGGAACAGAGGTTTGGTTAGGAGCCATCCCTGCTGCAAGTTGTCTCATCTTGATGTCAGGTGTTAAAGCCAACACAGTTTGGGAGGCGTCAGGCTCTTGCTGCAGCTGGTAAGTGCTGCTTCAGACAGCCCCCGACACTTCCCAGCCTCTCCATGTTCATATACAGTATTTTCTTTTTTTGTAACTTGGCTTCAGTGAAAAAGAATATTTTTAGTAAGCTACTCATTGTTTACCCAAAGAAGCCTTAAAAAGCCCAGAGCAGGGGATCTGTTGAGTAAACTCAGAAGAAGACAGATTTGCCTCCTCTTCATCGTGCCCTGGAGCACTTGCCTTTAGAGGAAGTGAGTAGAGCGAACGTCACAGGACTTAATGAGTAATGTGCCTGAACCCAGATCTCTATGTGGGGTTTGCTGGACACCAAACTTATTGACTCTACACCAAGAGTTCACCCACGCTGCCAAACAACCAGAAGTTTACAAAAATGCAAATACTAATGTCTGGGGCCAGAATTAGGATGAGGCATATGAGGCACTCACCGCAGGCATAATAATTAAAGGGGTGCCAAAATTTCAGTAATCAAGGTAAATAATATTTTGAAAAGATAGGACCAGAGTAGGGTGATGCGAGTGAGGTAAGTCATCTAAGTATAGGGTCGGATCTTGTGTTTATTTAAAATGTTGCTATTTTGTTCGCTGGGATTTTTTTGCTTTAATTTTGATTTTTTAAAAATATTGCATTAAAATAGCATTTATCTTAATTATGGAGATTTTTGGCGCCCCCTGAAATTTTACCCCTGTGATGAGTGCCTCAGTTGCCTCTCCCAAATCTCAGCCCTGGACTTCATTTTTTCCGTGTGCGGGGAATACTTAAGCAAACAAACAAACACGACTTCTTCCCTTAAGGAACTAATCCAGTGTCTCTCCTTCCTTTGAAGAACAAATAAAAGGATTTAAATAGATTATTGAGAAGCACTGGTAATAATATAAATTAATAACCCATTTATGTCAGGGCTTCTAGTAATGGCAGGCTAGGTGAATCAGACCAACCTCTCACTGAAAAGAACTAAAATTTCTGGATTTAAAAATATATGTGTTTTAAACTTATCTAAAAGCAACAATGAGTTGATGAGGTAGTAAGGAACTACCAGACCAAGATCTGGGTGAACGCTGGAGCCCAGAGCACACACCAGGGCCCCTGGGCCCTGAGAACACCTTCTGTTTGGGGCAAGGATTGGCTTTGGTTTGGGAAGCCTCCAGAGTCCAGGGTAATGGGAGTAAAGGAAGGATTCTGTGGTAGAAAGAGACACATGCAGCATTGCAAAGGCAAGAATGAGCACACTGTCCATCTCATAGGTTAATGTGTGGGTACAAAAAGTACAAAAAGTAAAGGGCCGCCCCGAGAAAGTAAAAACACACAAAAGAGCTGTTTTCAAAGAGGGGGAAGTCACAGCCGTATGCCAAAGGCAGAGATGTCCTAAGGCAAAATGGTGGCCCAGGTACTTCGTAAACTGGAGCTAGACTGAAGGAATGGTGTAACAACATTTCTGTCTCTAAAAGACCAAAAAGCTCCCCCGCCCCTGTAAAATTACAGATAAATGAAAGGACAGGAGAGTAGTCCCCGCTGATGTGCACGGACTCACTTTACTTCAGGCTACCTCAGAGCGCACTTGGGATGTTAGCAGGGCACTTATCCATCTTTGGGCAAACAACTCCTTCGGAAGGACACCAGAAAGAAAAGCCCGTGCAACAAGGATGAAATGAATACTGAATACATCTTGACAAATGGGCAACCCTTGGAACTGAACTTTCTTGCCCAGGTCCTTTGACAATAAATAGATTCTACTTTTGATTCAGGTCATACTTGAGGATCATTGTGTGGGGCATCTTTAAAGAAAATAAACACAAAATTATTAGGACTCTTCTTAGGTCCTCATGAGCAGCATAGTTAATCCTTCCCCTGTCTTGAATAGTTCTTACTTGTCACTTGACCTCGGTCCTTGGACCCTTAACATCTCTAAGCCTCAATTTCCTTAAATGTATACAACATGGTATTAGAACTATACTACTTCATAGAATTGTTGTGAGGATTAAAAAAAACAATGAGAGTAAGTTTTGCAAAAAGTCTGGCCTGGTCCTTAATATTTAATAATTGTTATTTATCATTATCATTGAGCACGGGGTGGTGCAATAAAGTGACCAAATCCCCGAGGACTCCATGGTGTGAGAAGCCAGAAGAGTGCTTAGCCATGCTCAATTTATAAAATTTCACTGACATGTACACTTGTGATTTGCACCTTTTTCTTTACATATGTTACACTTCAATTAAATTTATCAATTGTAAGTGTTTCTCCAAGGCCACGAGGAGAAGGGAAATGATAACTCACCAAGAGAAACAAAGGGCTGATGGCTACCCAGCAGATCCTCCAAAACCATCCAGGGCTGAAGCCGAGCATTTCCTTCACATCACTGCAGAACTGAGTGATGCCTAAAATCATCCGAAAGAGAAAGATATTGATTAAATGCTAGAGAATATGGAGTGTCCTATCCTTTGATTCTCATAGAGAGAAGCAGCTCTGGAATTTCTCATAGGAGGGGCTCAGGGGCACCGATCTAGTTTGGAAGTGGGACAAGGAGGACTCGTCACAAAACTGCACGTCATAGCGAGCAACATTCTTTCTACATAGTGTGGGAAGATAGGTGGACATTTGGGGAGGGACCGAAAGCCCTCCTCTCAGGGCCCACACTGCCTTCCTAAAGTCTCAGCATGTGTTTCATTTTATTGTTACGGTAGAAAAAGAAAGGGATGATGGATATGCTCAACAGAGACTGACTTTGACCATATACTAGAAATGTTCGAGAGAAAATTTTAACCATAATATTGCCCAGACCAATGTCCTTCTCTAAAAAGTAACTGGCATGAAAATGAAAAGTGAGAACTCTGGGGAGAAACTGAGATGGGGAAGGAAGGTTGTCCTGTGGGTGCTGCCCTGAGAGCGCCCGGCGATTCTCACACTTTGAACCTTGTTCTCTGAGTTGCTGAGGAGGTGGGGAGCACTTCTTTTTCAAACACTGGGCTCCCATGTAACTCAAAATATGGGGCCCCCTTCTTCCTATTATGTATAACGACAAACACGCTAAAGCTGTTTTATTATCATAGAAACTAGGAAAATAAATACATTTCCAGAATGAAATAATCACTTCTTGATTGTAAAGATGAAGAGAGGCATCTCTGAACCTGGCTGTCTTCACTTTACTTGCCTGTGCCCTTCCCACCTCCACCCAGGGGCTCCTGGGGCCCCTGACAATGGACCCATGTCAGCTCTCTCCCTCTTTCTCTCTTCGCTCCTGGTCGTTTCACTTTTATCAGAATCCATCCCAAGATCAAAGGAAGTGAACAGGGGGTTCTTCCAGGACAGATAATACAAATGGGAACATTCTCGTCTCTTCCCTAAAAGCGAAGCTGCTCAGCTCTGTCTCAGGGCCCTCAAGGGAGCTCTTGGGAAATTTAAACTGAGGGCCACTCTCTAACAGTAGCACACTCTGCAAATGCATTCACGGTGCACTAGCTCTTTGTGTTCTGTCCAATTCTTAGAGCCAGTTGAGATCTTAAGCAAGCATCCACTGTGGATGAGCTACAGGGAACCACTTCAGCCTTTCTCCACTGGGGAAACATTTAAACCCAGAACGAAAAAACACCTCCCAAGGGTATGAGCAATCTGGTATAGAGAGTGTGGAGGAGATGATGACCTGTTTCTGAAGCAGTCACTCAGCTGAGCTTACTTTACAGACTCACCAGGAGGGGACATCTGGCACACTGCCCTGCCTTTCTTTGATGAATCAGCCCCTCTCTATTCTGGTGGCTACAGGCTGATGTAGAAAAGATCCTGGCTGGCAGAAGGAAGCTTCTTACCATAGAACCAATACACAGCAACTGCTTCTATCAGTGCAACGGTGAGCACCGCGGGCCCCGTGGCAAACTCCTCCAGCAGCTTCACCACGTAGGCCCCTCCCTGGAAACAAGATCATGAGCCTGGTTAAGGGCCCTCTGAAGCACTGCCTCCTCTTTATGGTCTTCAGGGGCCAAAAGAAGCTTCCCAACTTAGGAAAATTCTGGAAAATGTCAACTTTGGACCTAAGAGGAGTATCCCGGAGCCTTGTCAGTGTGGGCCAGATTTCGTCCCAACGGACACCTCATCCCTCCCTATGGAGCACTCTCTTCTTGTTTCCTCTCCCCACCAGGCTTTAAGAGACAAACTCAAAAGGGCCTCTGGATCTATTTCCAACTTCCTTTAATTTCCTGAACACCAACTGTGTTCCTAACCCTGGTCCCTAAAGGATCTGGTCCCTAAAGACTGAATCTGAGGGACTCCACAACACCAGACCTCCTGAGCATGTTGCTCACAGTTTTGCCTTCTTTCCTTACTCACAAATCCCTTGGGTCATGCTCAGGGCCCCACCACCTCACGGAAGCTCCACATCCATTAGGGTCATGGCTAGAAGATGCGTATCCGCAAAATCTGCCTTGAGTCAAGAGGACACAAGCCTAAGATGCCGTGGGTACTGTCTGATGCATATTTTACAGTATTTCCTTTAGCTACTACAATAAAGCACTCGAGAGGGTCTGACTCCTTCACATTGCAAGTTCTCTGGAGGAGGACATCAGGGCAATATTCCCATGAAAACAGCCCTAAGGACTGAAAATAAACTGGGAAATCAAATTTTAGTTTTTCTCCAGATATTCTATGAGGGTTAAAATCTAGCTAGATCTACTATAAAATGCTAAGAGCCTCCAGATAGCATGCACAGATTCTACAAACAGATGCCACCAGAAATGACTCTTCTTCTTATCCTTGATGACAAACTTTTTTTCTAAGCAGTGACAACCCCAAAACCAGGGCACCATGAGGGATGGCAGGAAAGGAATGGCTTCTTGTAGCATTCTGTTGCCCAAGGGAAGGTTGACTCAAAGTTGGGGGTCGTGGTACTCACAAAAGTCAGGGTGATCAGGGACCCAAAGAAGCAGGTAACAACCACACCGAGCACAAACCACTCCCGGCGCTTGGACCAGATGTGTGGAAATTCATCCAACACAGCTGTGATCACCCCCTCCAAGCCTGCAAACTGAGAGGGACACACAAACTGTCACAGGGGAGGATCTGAAACAAATCTGTTACCTTCTAGGACAGTGAACAGGAAAGAGGGGTTAAGATTGCCAAGTGACAAGTCAAGGTGATCATGACCAGTCCCCCTTCCTCACCAGTCTTCCCTGGAAATATATTTCCCTGTTTTACACTGTCATTTAGAACCCATCCCTAAGGAC